TTTTAGTTATGTTGATATTAAATTATAATTAAAAAAACAGTTTAAAAAATTCAAATATAGAATAAAAAAATAGAAAATATAATATAAAATTATTGAAGATATATTTTTTGAATAATTATGGAAGTCAGGGATGAACTTTCAAAATAAACATCTACTTGATGGACTAAAAAGAGCAATAATCTTAATTTTTAAGTTTTGTATTTTATTTTTATAATATTTTAAATGGCTTTTATGCCTTGAAGTTTTATTCATATTATATTTCACTTAAATATTTTTAGAGATAAATATATTTTTTATCCTGTATTTTTTTATACTTTTAAAATAACAAAAACAATCTTTCAATTTGTAAATTATATTATTTCTAGTAATTTTTATATTTAAATGTAATATTTAATGATATTTTTTATTATTACAATAATTAAATTAATAAAATATATAATTTTAATATTTAAATTTGAAAACTAATTAATTTTATAAATATATGGATCAAAATCAAACTTTACAAAAAAAAAAAGTTATAAAAACATATTTAACCTTAATTTAAAACAATAAATCAATGTAATGTAAATGGTAGAAATAAATGGATATGGGTTGAAGAAGGCCAGGTAAGGCCTAAACTTATATGGGCTTGCCACCTCCTCATTGTTATTCAAACCTCTGAGACATTATTTACACTCCCCTTATTTTAAAAAATAAAATAAAATAAAAGGTATAGTCTAAAATTAGGGTTTATATAAGGTTCAATGAATAACAATTTAATATATATTGACGTCTAATTTTGTTTACTAAAAATTTGTTTCCGAAAATACTTTTGGAAATTGATTTTTTATACTTTTAAAAAATGCTTTCACGAATAATTTTTTTCAAAATGTTAATTTTTTTGACACTTCAAGAAAAAACATTTTTGAAAAAGGATATTTTATTTTTAAAAAAATGTAAAATAGAGGTATATTAGAAAATTTTGAAAGTATAAACAAAAATGTCTCAATATATATATGTAAAGAACTTCAATAAATATCTTCCACTTTGAATTTGTAGCCACACGAATCAATATTGGTGTTTAAAAATAGAAACGAAATCACGTAAAAAAGCAAAACTACACTATTTTCGGGTAATGCCCAGTGACATCTACAAGGTCATGTCTCACCATTAAATCATTAGAAATTTATTTCCATATAAAAATAATTCTGTTATATAAATGATTTTTGTCCTTCACAAATAAAAAAATTATTTTAATTATTCTTCTGCTGGCTATAACATTGATGAAAAACTTGTATCAATTTAGCTTCAAGTTTTGCCTTGTGGTGTTATTCCAGTCAACATCATCATAAATTGTGTGTATATAGTGGTACTTAATTTTGATGAGATATTCCATTTTTAATATTTTTATGCAAGAAAACATTGTTTATGAAATTGAAATTTGTGACGTAAAACTAGTCATGTGGACCAAGCACACAAAATAATTGAGTATGTGACTGCTGCTGTGAAAGCTACAAATATGATTCATATTCTATTAATCTCTCTCCATATCTTTGATAAATTATTGTGAAAAAATAAATGTAAGAGGACATACGTAGCTAGCATGATTATAATAAAAGCCATGTTAATTGTGTGAGGGTTGATGACAACAACTACAACAATGTATTTGTATCCATTAATTAATGGAGAAGTGGGGGATGGTGTTCTCTTCTCTCTAACTCTAACCACACTGCTTGGTCAGATATTAAACTAAGAATATGGGGAAAACAGATGTTGCTTAATCTTTTTCTAAGCTACTCACTCAAAACCTTTTTCATCTCTACTACCCACAAAGTACCTTCACTAGTAGTATTTTAGGTACTCTAAATAAATTTTGCTGGTTATATATATATGGACATAGTGGTTGTGATGGATGATTTTTCATGAATAATTAGTTTATCCATCCAACGAGTGTGTCGTGCACTAGGAAATATAAACAGTGGTTTAACATGTCCCCCCACTTTGCCAAACCAACTGGTCGGGTCGTGTAATTATTTGATGGATGATTGTTGCTGAGATCAGCTTAAGCTAGGTTTTCTGAATCATTCACTTCAACCAGTGTTTCATATGTGGTGCAGAAAAATAAACTAAATGAATAATATTACTTCTTTTTTCTGCTAAAATATATATATATATATATATTATCTATCTACATATCAATCCTGATATCACATTCAAATTTTAGCTTACGGATTATGTCCTGACTCAGATTCTAATTTACACAGATTATTATACTTTTTGTTCACACTGAAAAGGTTCTGAAAATCTTGAAACAACCCACAGAGAAAAAAAATAAAAAAGGTATCCCTTGTTACTCTTCTCTATGTGGATATACAATCATGTTGCAATACGTAGTGGACGTTGCATCAGATTTCTAATGCTAATTGGCCACGACATACCTCTCAAATAATTCAAGTTTTTATTTCTTATATGTTTTTATATTCATATTGATGTCTGATTGTTGCTTCTATATGTCATATCAAGTCCACCAATAATAAATTAATTTTGTCAATTTTTAGAAAATAAATTCATTTATGCATCCTATTTATTCTTGAATTGATACCACTTAATATACCAACATAGTATGATTCCTTTGCTGTATACCCTACTGCTTGTTGATACATTTCAATGCTCATTAATAGATGTAATTTGAAAATTTTTCTGAAAGATTAGATCTTGGGATTCTTTCATGGTGATGTGATGGAACGTTTCTATTTTTCAAATCCTCTCTCAAAACACCAAGGTACGAAAATTTTAGCATCGTTTCAAGCCAAGTTAGATTTATATATATATCTTCTTATCTGCTCTAAGTGTTTACTTGTTGACGTTGCTTAAAAAATTCAGATTCACTTTTTTACTTTTTCTTCTCTAGAAGATTTTAATTAGATATCTCTACTTTTATTTGTTTTTAGTGGTTGCTAGCATATAGCCCCACGATACAAAGTCATACCCCAAAATTAATTAACTACTTTTCGAGAAGGACTCTGTGTCATACTATTTCCGTTGTAGATCAGAGAAAAAAATGTTCTGAATCCAATACCAACAAAATAATGCTGCCTAATCATCCACTAATGTCCATTTCTTAGTTAAAGTTCCAAATCAGTTAATTAATCCAAGAGCACACAAACCTCAGCAAAATTTGTTTGGTCACCTCAAACAAATTCTCATTTTTCCTTTCCAAGATCTGAATTAAATAGAGGTCTAAATTCAGATAAACTTTTGTTTAAACCAAGTCCATCTTCAGTACCAAAAGAGAAACACAATGGTGATCTTCTATACGAATAAAAGTTAGAGCAAAACGTGGCATTGGTTTGTGGAAGTGTATCTAACATTTCATATACTCCAAATTGGCCACTTAATTGACACATGATGGTAACAGAACGATGGATTTGAATTTTTAAAGGAGTTTTAAGAATCAAAATGCTTTGTACAAGCATTTTAGGAATTGCATCTCATGATGGTCTCATACTTAATCGCATGGTTGCTTCACTTGGAATCAGTGACGCAATTATTCCTCCCTAGATATTCAGTGAGTGAAGGATATATAATCTTTTTCATATAAACAGATAGAAGAGAATCTGTGCTTCAAAAGAAGAGTGACATACTTTAACACTGAAATTCAGGATATCATCTTTTCACTACTCTTAACTACTATATTAGAATATAATCTTTCAGCTATTCCATCAAATTAGAACATTCCCGATTGCCCCTCTCACTTCTTCTTTCTTCTAACTGATTATTTCGTGTGAACTAAACTTTTATTATGTGGAATAAAAGGTTGACTAATTATTGTTACATAGGGAAATTTTAGCCACAAAATATTGTTATTAGGAACCAGAGTGCAACATGTTCACTATGATAGAGTATTAGATCAATGTCCAAAGATTGTAAGCTTTAAAATTCTAGTCCATTACGATTTTATTTTTGAAAAAAAACACATTAATAAACTAAGAGTGTAGGATATATATAAATTATTCTTATTTTCAATACCTAAACGATCCGAGACTTATATATACCAAAACATTTTTTCTCAATATCTAAGAACGAAAGTATCCCAATTTTATGTTTGTTATAATAATGTCGTTAAAGTTAATTCTTATATCCAAGATATTGTGTGTTTTAAGATTGTAATGTATTATAATTTTGTTTTAAAAAGGGGTTCCGTGGATTAAAAGAGAATAATATATTTTAACTATCATTCTACTTTTAAATTATGTTTACGAAAATAGTTATCATGTTAAAATCTTATTTAACAGTTTTTTTTGTTCACAGTGCTAGTTAAGAAAATTTTAATATATTTTGTTGTTGACATCTACCTCTTCTCGGTATGTTTGGTTAGCCTTGGAAAAATTGACTAGGATTTGAAGCCTATGTGAGAGAAATTCTTGTTGTTCTTGAAGCATAGATTATTATCATACAAGTGTACCATGATATAGATAATGCTTGGATTGCTTTATTTCACACACGATACAGATAATGCTTGGATTACTTTACTATGTCATTCTTGTAATATTCTGCCAAACGAGTATCGGGAAACTTGTGTCTTATATGATTAGATAAGTTTCAGCTCCGATTAATCAATCAGTTAATTAATAAGGTAAAGAAGCAGCATCTAATGCTTAAATTATAGAAATCTTTCATGTAGATTAGACCGTTTATACCTGCAATTAGATGTCAGCAATTAACATTCTGCGTGCGAATTATTCACTTCCTATAGAGAGAGAATTCTGCAATGTCAATTTTCCTTTCACAAAAGTGTGCAAAATTTAAGTTACATTATGGACATTAAGGTCCACACAGAAGGTCCTAATCAAACCACAAATATAAAAAAAATAAAAAGGAAAGAAAACTTTAGTTAATTTTCCGAAAAAGATGGTGAGAACACAAAACAAAACCCCTCATAATTTCTCTGCTCTCAGTTAACGACCCTTTTTCATTGCAGCCTCTGTTATTGATTCTTCCATTTCTAATTATCTACCACTTTAAACTCTAGGAACAGTAATGGCTACCCTTAATTCTCTGGAGGCTTCTTCACCACCCTTTTGCATCTCAATGTCGTTGTTTGTTTCAGCATCTTCCATCACAGTCTCCAACCTCCCATTTTCTAAACAACACTTCACCACCTCGATGGTCATTTCTGCTTCTTTCTCTTCGTTCTCCTTGTATTTTCCCCACAGAACCGAGTAAAGTCCCATAACTATGAGAATAGCTCCAGCGACCCTGAAATCACAAGTAGATGAAACAACATCAGTTATTGGATTAGCACCGAAAACATGTCCACCACTATTTTAAAGTTTGAGCTTTTTAAGATTGCGATGTTTCAACTTTTGTAAATAAATACATAGCTCTAAGTTTAGCATAAAGTGAAGTGACTCCGTTAAAACTAACTTGTAAGCTGTGAGACGAAACCGCGTGAAAGTGAAGTTTCTTTGTGGCTAAAAACATGAACCGTTTATTGGGAATGGGAACAGTGATTAATTGGATGTGAAATTGTGAATGAGTATGAGAACTTACCCTCCAAGATATATTTTTTCTGCAAGAATGAAAGCACCCATGATGGCTACTATAATCATCATCAAAGGGCTGAAAGCAGTTACGAAAACAGGCCCTTTCTTTTGCATGACTATACCTTGAACATAGTAGGTGATTCCTGATGATATTATTCCCTGTTCACCAAAGTTTACGTCCATTTAGACTCAACAAAAAATACCCAACAAAATAGAAAAAATTATTGTATGACCTGAAACTACTGTGTCTATGCTCATCAGTCCTCCTGATTAAATTTTATGTAACACAGTTCATCAAAACGATTTTAACAGTTTATTATGTGTCACGTAGAGATTAGTTGAGACGACATTACTTCAGACTGTACAAAATTTTTTCAGACAAATGGATAGAGTGAGAAAGGCTTACAGCATAGGCTGCTGCAAGCAGGTTCATATCCCAGCCAATGGGCCAAACAGAGGCCTTGTGCTCCATGACAAAGGTAACTGCAATTGACTGCAGTGTACCTAAGGCACACACAAGGGCTGTGAGAGAGAGCTGAGCAGGGTATTTCCTTAGTGTCACTGCCTGCATTTATCATAACAAAGACTTGTCAATGATTAAATAATGTAAGAAGTCAGGTACATGAATAAGAATCAGAGAAGTAGGGTAAGGTACTCTTTCCCCACAGTTTGAATTAAACACTTGATTACTTGCCTGAAGGATGAAGAAAGAAGCCCAAGCAAGGGTGGCAATTATGAGAAGAATAGAGCCCTTGAACCAATCCTTTTCACCAGAATCAGTGGTGTTTTCAGGCACATAATTTCTGGGGTGATGCATGTACTGAGAACCCAAGAAACTGATGACTTGCCCTTTGTACAATGTCATCAACATGGCCCCAGCAACTGTTACTATAGTTCCTATCACCTTGGCTTGGCATCTTAATTTTCTCATGTCCACCTTCTCCATCCTAATTCATTCCAAGCAGAGAGAAAAGCCATGTCAGGTCGAATCAATAATAAAAATTATAATAATAATAGCAAATGAAAAGCATTAAGATTATTCGCTCACAGTGTATTGAAATATACCTGAAAATAGCAGCCATCACAAATGTCATAGCAGGGAGAATGTTGCTTATTGCACATGAGTAGGTAGGGGAAGTAAACTTCAACCCCGCATAGTATAAGTTCTGATCAATCACAGGCCTATAACAACAGAACAAAAAAAGCAAGTTTTAGTACATGTTTTCTGGATGCATAGATCATAATGAACACCGGGGTCTAGAGCAAGAAAACTACTAACCCAAGTAGACCCAACACGAATATTTGCATGAACATAAAAAATGTAATCTTGGGTCTCACTTTCCTGCCAATGACAAACAAAAGAAGAAGAGAAGGTTGATCAGAAAATGATTCAAAACAACGAAGCCAATAATACTCTTCACTTTTATTCTGCCATAGATACCTCTCAAGAACAAGAGCAAAAGGAGCAATAGCTGCAGTAGCAAAGGCATGTCTATAAACCACAAGCACATAGTGGCTCATCCCACGGTTGAGGGAAACCTTGGTGATTATGTTCATACCAGCAAACCCGAATTGCAGAGAAATCATAGCTATGTAAGGCTTGCACCTCTGAAAAAAACTCCCACAATAACCATCTCCTTCCATTTTTTTTTTTTCTCTGTTTGTTGTGTACGAGGTGAAGGACGGTTCTCTGAACTAAGAACAGATTTGTGTACAGAGGAAGAACACTTGAGGTTGTTTGTGTCTCCTAAGTGAAAAACGTTACCCCCACTATGGTATTTATAGCTTCTAAACCCTCGTAGAAGTGTCGTGGCAGAATCGTACTGAGAACTAACTACGGTTGAAATAAAAGTTAGTAACAAAAATAAATTTGATGATATGTTTTTTTTTTATTATTAATTTGAAGCGTGTAAGAATCTCACCATGGAGCTCACACGTGACCCACTTTTGCAATAGGTATAAGACGTAAGCCACAGGATATTCTTATTTGTTGTGTGTTTACAAGAAACATTATGGATTCCACGTGCGATGATTGGGTTGTTTTTTATTTGCTGATGAAATTTAGGTAAATGGAAATTATTCTTTTAATGCAACGTTCATGAACAAAATAATAAAAGAAAAATGTTTGTTAAGTTTCTTTCATTTTTCAAAAAATTTTGCTAAAGAAATTACAACAAATCATTAGGATTATTCTTGAAGTCCTACATTCTCTTCGAATAATATTTTTGTTAACATTTTTATTCAATTACACTTATTGTCTTTTAGATATTGGCTTTAGTTCATGGAACAATTATAACACCAAGTGGAGAAAAAAATGACAATTGAGTTTAATATTATATAATATATATATATATATATATATATATATATATATATATATATATATATATCAGTGAAAAAATAATCTGCTCGTATTTTTTTATAATTCATTTTTTAAAAATATTTTTAAATTTATTTTTATTTTCTCTCTACTTTTTTAAACATACCTATTTCTTTTTCTTCATTAATTAAGTATAATATATTGTTTCTTTCATATATTTTACTATTAATATAAATCATAATAATTATATTTTTTTAAACTATGATACTTTTATATTGTTTCATTTCCATGAAAAGAAAAACAGTTACAAAAGGAAATCTCCTTAATATATAATTATAGGTCATAGATAAACTATAATACTTTAAATATTATTTAATTTATTTTTTCTTTTCCTTTAAATGTATCCACTCTTGTTTTTATCAAGTTACGTATATGTTTTTTTGTTTCTCTCATATTTTTTTTAAATGTATAAATTATAATGATTATTTTTTTCTTTAAACCATGACACATTTTGTTTCTCATATATATATATATATATATATATATATATATATATATATATATATTATAAACAAATTATAGATTATAATTTTTCTATATAAAGATAACAAATATAAGAAATTTATAATATATGTTGATCTTAGTTTTATTTATAAAAAGCAATGGATAAATAATATAATAAAAATATGTTCAAATATGACTTACAAAATTTTGGAAGATTTCAGTTCTCACAATCCTTAAAAAAATTTACTATTCCTCATCATATATTAAAAAATTATTTTTATATTTTACTTATAGTATTATATATAATAATTTTATTATATTTTATATTAAATTTTCAACCTCTTTTTGAAATAAACCTAATTTGTACCTAAAGGTATCAATTTCACACTCAAAAGTGTGAAATTATGCCAAATAAAAATTGAAGTATGTATGCCTTTATTTTAAGGGTGAGAAAGTGGAGTTCTTTGTTGGTTAAGACGTACGTGAAGTTGTAGCTTGGCCATACCACATTGAAGAATCTTCTTCCTTTATGCATATGACATATGTTATCTAAATTAAGGATTTAGTATAATGCATTATACAGTACATATGATGTCAAATATTTGTCTTTTTTTTTTTCATACTAGAACTATCTCTTATATTTGATTGTCTTGTGACTAAGCTATGATTTTTTTTTCCTCCTTTTATTGATGTGTTGACTATTGTAAGAGGTGAAGACAATAATGAAATATGAGTCATTTACTAGGAAAATTTCAACCATGTTTAAAATTTAAAAATATAAGCCTCAATTGTGTTATCTTCTAAATAGTTATTTATTACATCACTATAATAGCAAAAGACCATTCTCTATTTAATTAGAGTTTATTAACATGGATTTTAAATAGAATTTTGATTCTTATTTACATTGATTTTAGTTTATTCTCTTAAGTTTCAAAAACTTCTCTTTAACCATTTATATTGTCTTTGGACTAAATTAATCATTTTTTTTAAATTAGTTATTATGCCAATTTTGATTATCATAATTAATCCAACAACTAATATTTAATAGATAAAAATAAAATAAAAAATATTATGAAACATACTTAAATTTATAGATTAGGAGTCAAATTTTTTTTATGAGACAATATATAATTATTGATACAAGATAGTATATAAGGGAATAAAAATCTCATAATTGTTTTTATGTTAAACTAGCAAGAGTATCACGATGGATTACATATGTTATCTTCCTTTATTATTTATATTTATTTTGTGGCTTAAGTTCTAAAAAATTGTTGTACCTTTTCATAAATAAACAATTATTATTATTTTTCACCACCCACTTATTCTATAATTTAGGAAATCATGCTTTTATGCTTGTTTACACGTACCAAAAATTCATTTAGAAATCCATTAATTGAACTTGTAGAGGATAAATTAGTAGTTAGCTAATGATTTCAACAATAAACATTTTTAGAACCAACAAATACATATACCTTTCTCTTTAAAATAAGATAAATTAGTTGCTTAAATGAATAAACCAAATGTTTTAGATGCTTCAACCATAATGCTTTTTACCTTTAGAGACCAACCATGCAATTGACAAATATAATAATTCACTACAAAAATAATCAATTTAGTGAGGGAAGAAAATGGTCACAAAAGTAACCAAATCTTGTCAAAAACTATTAGTGAAGGAATTTTGTTGTAACAGTAAATTATTTGTCACATATTTAGACGTTACAATTTGCAATGAATTTATTTGCTCCATCATTACGAGGGATAAAAAAATTGTCACAACATCGAATTATTCTATCACATTATATGATTGAACTAGAATATTTTAAATTCATTTTCGTCTCTAAGGCGATCGAATTTTTTCATCACAAGTCACAAAATGTTCCAGCACAGTTCTTAGACGTCACACAACACGAGGTGCTTGATTTGTGACAGATATTGTTTTTTCAAAAAATTGTAAAAAATTTAATCTTTTACAATATTTGTTTAAAACTTAGTGGTTAGCCAAAATATACATAATAAATAAGCAAACTAAAGAACATATATCTCTGCATAACTTCTAAAAGTTCCATACATACAAAAAATAAAAATAACATTCAATGTTTCGCATGAGAAAGAAGTTTTAAAATACATGCTTAATGTTTCTTTACTTCTAATAATCTAACCATAGATAATAGAACATATTACTGCATACATATTATAAAATTTAAATAATTAAACATCTTATTCTCATCTAATTATCCTCACTTTCATCTTCTACGAAAAATTAGTTTGATTAAAAAAACAATTTGTCACACATAGAGTAATTTGTTAATTAAACAAATATGCTTCTTCTTGTGATATAATATGTTGGATAATAATTCAATTATTAATAATGATTGATTATGTATATGACATTTTTCCCGCTAACAGTGGTATCAGAGCTTCAATATCTGAAAAAATTAATGATGATGATAGAAAATAGATTGCAAGACAACATATAGATTGCAAGACAACATGAGAATGCTAAATAATAAAAATTTGAATAGTTTTTATCATTATGCATGAAGATGAAGACTATCTTTGGATTTGAAGAAGTCTTAGATATTGTTCTAACCGGATATGATGAGCTATCGGAGTATTCCACCGAGACACAACGTGCTATGTTTTACGATACAAAGAAACATGATTGTAAAGTCTTGTTTTATATTCATCAATGTCAATTTTGAAAAGATTTCATTGGTGAATATGATGAAAGAAGTTTGTGATATATTGGTGGAGAGTTATGCATGAGTAGAAAGATTGAATATGGTGCGACTTCAAACCATATGTCGTTGATATGAGTTGTTGCAAATGAGAACTCAAGAAATCATTCAAGAATACTTTACAAGATTGCTCTCTCTCACAAACTTGATGAAATCATATGATGAAAATTTAAAAGAATGAACGGTAGTTAAGAAGGTGTTAAGGATTATCGATGCAGATTCGATATGATTTTTAGAAGAATTACGGAAAAACTTAAATGTAAAATCGATTATTGAATTAGGGGGTTACATTGGATAATAATCCAGCAATTAATAATTATTGATTCTGTTAGGATGTTAGACGTAACTAACTTTTCAACTTTCTGATTACTTTTAATTTTTGGTAACACTTCTCTTGTTACTATTTTCTCTCTTGATATTATGTTCAGAACCTTTTTTTCACTAACACAAAAATCAACCTTTCTAAAGTCAAACACATTAGAAAGAAAGGTCTTCATTTATTCATATTCATTTGATAAAATAACATTAGATGAGTTAAACTTTTTATCTAGACCAAACACTTGTCATTTTCTATCTATACCTCAAAATTACTATAGGAAATTATATCATTAGATGATGATGAGATATGTATCTTTAAAATACGTTTTTCAAACAAATCCTAAAATAAGATGTGAATTTTAGATTATGCATCATGTATAATTAATCACAAAGTATATATATGTTACATTGGTTTATTATTGTAAAAATGGAATTTAATGACATTAAAGTCTCTTTATTAGTGTAAAATGTGGTTTTGTTTTACATTAGTTTTTTCTAATTGAGTTAGTAAATATATGATATTACAAAATTATGGTGATATTTTTTAAACTAAGAAATTTTTTTACGTTGGATCCCATATGGTTCGACATAAAATTTGTTTTAAATTTTTCTTAAGATTTTGTTTTTGTTACGCACATGAGAGTTTTTTGTTGAGCGATAAGACAACACCAACATAGTTTCTTTGGACGTTTTTCGACTATGGTGAGCGGTGACAACACCATTATTAGGATCTATTGGTGATTTTGGACATTTCTCATCAATTAGATTAGAGTATTTTGGTGTTTATTCTACGAGATTTACTAAACCATTTATTGTCTTAACTCACGCCTCCAAGACAACTACGTCTTCCAAAACCAACATATGATTCCTTTAAGTCTTTATTTCTATTTCTATCTTCATTTAATTAGGGTTTCATTTCAATTTTTACGATTCTGTCTAGACGTCAATCTCTGATGAATAACCATGGTCCTTGCATTCACAAGGATATGTTTATAGCTATTAATTCCTTCTCATCAATGATGTCCATGTTAACCCAATTTCATTTATTTAATATGGTTCGTTCTCAGATGTAAACCTACACTATCGTCGTTGTTTCTTATTTTAATTATTATTATTGATTAAGATTTGTTTGCTTAATTTGAAATTAGTCTTTGGAATGTCTAGATTTAAAAATTAATATCTATTTTACATTTTTTTATACAACTACAAGAATGTAAAACTGTTTTAAGTTCTTTTTGCTTTTTTCTTTATTTGCTGAAAATTTAAATTAGATTGTATGATAATCAGTACAACATAAATTTATGTTGATTGATTATTCCAACATAAATTTAGGTTCGTGCATTTTAATTGAAACTTAATGAAATATAAAAAATTTAAAATAACATTTAAAAAGTCTCTTTTATACTAATGTCTTTAATCATAAGGGAGGAATGATGATTAGCGTAAATCATTAAAAAACAATATATTTTAAATTATTTAATGACCACACAAATTTTTTATTATTAATTTTTGAGATAAAATAATATATTATTAATAAATAATAAATAAATATAAAAAATTAAAAAAAAATAAAAAATAAAAAAGTAAAACTATAAATATATAAATAAATATATTAAATAATTATTAAGTTTTAGAGTTATAAAAAAATTATAACTTTAGAGTGTACAGTAACTTTTCATCTTCTATAATCCACCTAATATTTGGAAATTAATTTATCATTTTCGTAGAAATCCAAAAGTTTATCCAATCTTCCTTTTATAACATTTGTTGCTCTGTGAATATCAGAATTCATAAACTTCATTATGCGTTCTCTCTGCCTACCACCTTTTCTCTCACTTTACATACCCTTTGTATCTTTTTCCCTTTCTTGATCAAAAAAGAAAAAAAATAAAAATGATGCAGTTGATTCAACATATGCTCTTCATTTCCGCCATATACATAATTTTTTAAAGTAAAAGATAAATATTTTTATAATTATTAATAAAATTTACGAACCAAGGGCCAAACTGACGGTTCAATTTCATAATTAAGTTTGACCTGCAAAAGAAGACATCATGGAAAAGCACTCATAAGGAAAAAAAAATCTTAACTTAGAAGTTATATTAATCTTAAATTTTGATCAAAATAAAAAAAAAATGAAAAAAAAATCCCATAATAAGTCCCGTTCAACGGACTTCCAAGGGAATCTTGTTCCTTTTTCACCACATAGAAGAAGAGGGAATGAATATTATTTTCTCGATCTACTTTATCTTTTTTTTTTTAATGGAAGCTTAGCTTTTAATCATAATTCCTCTGCAAGTACTTAAAGTTTCATATGGTTTTGGCATGCTAGCTAACATATTGACACCTAGCATAAACTAGCTATTAATTAAAAAAAAAAGAAGCTATTGTACTTAATAATAAATAATACTAATAATAAAGCCTATGTTACGCTTTATTCCTGAAATATTCATGCAATTCAACTGGCACCAAAATTTATAACTTGCAACTCTATACAATTCATAAGCACTGTACTATTAAAAAAAATCTAATTACTCCTGCAAAAAACTACTATCACTTTAATTATTTAATCTTTTTCTAATTCATAGGTTTCCATAATTGCTTGAAATGCATCATTCATATAGTGTGTCTTAAAAAAGTAATTAAGTTATAATGTATATATGTTGTATAATATGTACTAGTTTTTCATTATATTTAACCACTAAGTACGTAGCAAAAAAGGTGTGCGTAATTAATTAGTTTGCAGAAGAGAGGAGAGGAAATAAAGCAAGTGATTAGTCTATCCTGAGCAGAATTTCCACAGAATGGTTTGAAAGTGCAGTGATTTGAGTGGTCACTACTAGTTGTCTGAGCAGAGTGCATTGTCTAAAACAAAGAAGAACACAACACGCACTTCCTAAGCGATACGCATTCAAAAGTAGGGTTTTGATAGGACTCGCCAGCCATGAGGTGTCGTCCCTTTGCTGGAAAGTGCACCAATTTTATGGTTAACTCTTAGGATACCTTATTCATCAAATTATATCCATTTCCACATATTATATATACTTTCCTTTTCATATTATCATTCTTTAAACTTTTATAAATATCTAGAAAATCATTATAATAATAATATAATGCCATTACCAGCAGAGTTGGGTGACGGGATTTGGTGTGTCTGTGTGCGTGCTACACTTCTTTTAGTAAATAAGTAATTCTTTCTGCAACTTGAAAGTTATCTGAGTAATTTAATTAAGAGCACTGCTTGATAGTACGAAATGAATTAAGTTGTGAAAGGTTTTGACAAATGGTGTGTTACATTTTCCTTCGATATGATTTATTCAACTACGTAATATAAATGCGATGAAATGAACCACAGGATGCAGAACATATATTTCTCTTTCCATTTTGATGGGTGAGCTTAACATAGACAAATATCATATATGTATTCCAATTTGAAAACAATACATAGTTGTCACAAATTCACAAGATTTTCTTTGTCTTTGTTTCCAAATCATTGATACCACGTATTCTCGAATGTATTTATTTGCCTTTGTCACGTTCATGCTTTATCGTGGTCCATCACTACCATAAAAAAAAGTTTCAGACATACAGTAATAAGAAATGAAAATCGAAGACCACAAAATCCCCCAAAGAAGACGTGCAGTGTTTTAGACCACTAGACAAACAAAACACCCTCATAGTAGGAATTTCTCCTAGGTATCTCATAGCCAGCAATCATAGCACACCTTACTTCACCAAAACCACCATGCACAGTGCACAAACATAGTTTGGGGACGAAAATATGCAACTTGTGAAATGACTTAAATTCCCTTCATCGCGTCAGCGCAGAAATTAGAGCAGTCCCCAAGTGGCTGGGAATAGCTGTTTGAGCAAAAGTGGAGCATCACAGAAGCGAAATGGGGATCTAATCACTAATCACATACCAATCATCACGACGTTTTTGTCTCCCAAATGTGACATGCATGTCACATATATAGCTAGGTCCAATGACATAACTCAGTCACCAACTTGTAACATTCTGGTTTTGATCAGTATCTTTCATAATGACAACGTTGGAATTCTCTCTTTTCTCTTTTCATGTTGTCTCAAGTGAAAAATATTGTGACTTCATCAATTAATAATCTCAGTTTAGGAATATAGTTGATCATTTTCGTTCAGATTTCTCATTTCAATCATGTATATTTCATGTAAGAAGTTTTAATTTCAGACATTACTGAATCGAGTTCAACCACATTTTCATATTATGTTGGTGTTTTTTTAATCTTTCTTTAAGTTTATGAAATTGTTTAAAAGTTTGAAACATGTACTAGGTAGAAAAAAGGAAAGGTGGATGAAGAGACAAGAGGGGATAGGTGCCCTTCCCTGGAATGTATTTTTGAAGTGGAAGAGCAAGTGGGGGTGGAAGCATGGAGCTGTAAGGGGTCCTCTCAAACAGCAAATGTTGGAAGAGAATGAAGCAGTGAGGAGCCAATGAAGATCCTTCACACAAGTTGTTTAGTGTTTTTCTGTTTTCCCTTTCCCTTTTGATTGCTCTTTTTCTGGCTCAAGTCATAGACTTTTCAACAGTAGGGTGTGCAAGATCCCACTACCAAAGCATAGCCCTCTCAACTGGTTTCGATAATGGGCTTGTGATGGGGTCGAGGTTCTCAAAAGCCACCTGAATATTTTTCGTGACTAGTTGATGCTTTTGTTTTGCCAATTTGCTTCATCAATTTTGTTGGTTTCTCAGGTGAAGTAGGATTAGGTTGGAAAATTTTCACGCATGGCTGATGAGTTGCTAGCAAGGAGAGCACTAGCACACAACCAGACACACCATTCTCATCTTTTATTTGTTACCGTATGGGAATGAAGACAAAGCCTAATCAGAAAATTTTGATGTGTTTTGTTTTCTAATGATTTAAATTATTATTATTTGTTAATTTTTCATCGCCTTCTATCTAAAATTGTTAAAGAAATCAAAGAGAAACTGTAGGACATACTATGTAACTTGGTTTCATCAGTATATTTTGCTGTCACAGTATCACACTGCAGCAGAAGAAGACACCATAGCCGCTGTTTAACTTTACTTTTTAATAATCATTTCACTCACCATTTTCCAATGTACTGTTTCAAGACAATGGATTAAAACAAGACTTAATTAACAATTACACTTGCGTCAGAAATTTAAAGGAACACACACAACACAATTATAATTTTTATAGATCAGTTAATGTGTATCCATTCTGTCAAAAAGATTGAAGCTAATGTCTATCAACTTTTTCATTCATCTCATGTAGATAGTTTTTGAAAGCATATGTATGTTTTTCTTGAGTTTTTTGTGTATGAAGCACCGGCCATAGAGTATAGACTTTAAAACGTTTTGGCAAAGGGATAAAAAATGTGAGGTCAAAGTTGTTGCTACATGTGGGTGAGGCACAGTGTCGTATTTGTGCACTAAAACTCTAATTGAAGTAAAAAGAAAAATAAAAGATAAAAACTTTGGTCGGTCAAGTAGAAATTTTGACTCATTTTGATCGTTGATTTCATTCAAAACGCAAAGGGAAGGAGAAGAAACCGTTCTTTTTCATTATCTTTTTGTGAAAAATCTTTATGATGATGAAAAAAAACATAAAGGGCATCCACTAAAAAGTATATAATAGAAATAAATGATGCACACAAGTTTGTATCTTTCAAAACCAACCAAAACAAAAAGCCCTCTCACTCACTACTTTTTCTCTCCCACATTATTTTGTACTCAACACTGGCTTCATCGTGTTAAAGTGAAGGAAAATGTGATTAGATGAATGAAACAAAAACCCTGCGAGTTGTCATTCCTTTGTATTTTACTTTGAGCATTTATATATCTTTCAAGTTGCTAAAACATATCCGTTTCAGCAATAAAGAGGGTCTATTATTGAAACCCACTTAGGTCGTCTTCTCCAAAAGTTGCTGGTCAAAAATCATTCTCACACAAAATGATTTCTCACAGATCCAGTCCTTACAATCAATCATTCACCCAATCAAACATGCATCTTTATCATCTTTCTTTCTCTAATTTAATGTGAATCATGCACCGTCTTCTCATAATTTATTCAACCTCTATAATGCTTTCTCTTTATTAATTGCTTTGAAAGCTATGTTTTCTATTCCTTCACAACACTCATCAAACCACGTACATTCTCATGCATGTTTTTTTTATTTATCACCAAAGAGAATCACATCAATAACAGGTATTAGGTTACCTAAACAAAAATTACACTACACTGGGATCTAAGAAGACCTCTACACCTAGGGTTCTTGATGTGATACGACCCTAAGAACACTGTAGGGAGATTCATCAATCTAATCGAATACTATATGCAATTTGATTCAATTTAATTTAAGTTAAAAGTTATATGTTCAAATTACATTTGATGAATTTCTACTTATATATAAGTATGAATTTTGTATGGTATAGTACATGAAAACAAATAGTTGAAGATAAGAATATCTCTTTCTCCTTTTCTTTTTCTGTGTTCACTACACGAATGCGTTTACTTTACAGAAAGGTTTGATGAATTAATTTCAAGTGCAAGTCTTTCACATTATAACAGGATATTCAAAAGTATCGTCAAATATACTACCTTTGTTGTTTATTTCTCTGTAGAAGTATTGATAACTAGTACGTACCAAACAAATATTTTTATTCCACGTATACCAAAAGTTCTAGCCGAATTTTGCACAGTTTCATGCCTCTTGGCATAGTTAAAATATTTTCGGAGGAAGTCTTTTAAAAAAATGTAAAAATAAAACATATTATTTTAACGTGAATAGTATTACTTAAAAGGTCAAAGTTGTTAATGTCTCATTCACAATAACTATGACATTTTTAAAAAACAATATTTAAAAAATTCTTAAAAAATATATATCTATTTAATTTGCGTCTTTCGATTGGAGAAAACAAATAAATTCAAAGCTAAAGTTGCGTTCTAAATCATTTTGATCTATTTTAAATAATTTTATATACGACAGTTTTAAAATAATATATTTTATTTATAACTTTTACTCAATTTTCACCGAAAAGGTTCTTACAAGATGTTATATATTTAAGTCGTGTAGTTCATTAATACTCATTTCAGTGAATGTGTATTTAAAAGAGAAAAAAAAAAAATTGAAGCTAAGTGAGAAATAAAAATGTAAAATAATTTGTGTGCTTCACACTTGGCCATTCTTAAACTAATAAAGATTAAGTGTAGGTTTGGTAAATAACTCCAAAATTAAGGGTATTGATCCAACGAATTTGACTTTAACTGTATACATACAAATAAATATATATATATATATATATATATATATATATATATATATATATATATATATATATATATATATATATATATATATATAACCCCTATTAATTAGTCTAACTTTCTACGAGAAATAGATTTTGAAAGCCAAACACCCAGTAATCCATTGCAACCATTTTTCCTGTATTTTTTTTTTGTCTGAGTCTTTTCTACATTCTTTTTATTTTAATACCTTCCAGGGTGATATGTTTACATTTATGTTTCTATATGTTAGATATTGTTTAGATATTATTTAATATTGTTAAGATATTGTTAGATATTAATCATAATATCAAACAATATCTTCTGTTTATTCTGTTACTTTCAGTTACTCTTTTAGTTGTATCTTTCTACTATAAATAGATTATCCTATATGTGATTTATACACAAGGGAGATTAATCTCAAACTCTATTTCTTCTATATTCAACATGGTATCAGAGCCAGGTTCCGATCCTGGGACCTGGAACGAAAAATTTGTTTTAACGAAGGATCAAGAGTACCCTTGAGAACCACGCATAATTGAGCATCAATGGTGTCCCAACGGTCTTCCTCACCAGGAGTGAGAGTAGGTGATTTCGGGGCAAGATGATCAAGATTCTATGACTGATTATATGAGCAAAATTCATGCTCTTTTTCATGAGTTCAATGAGTTATTGCCTCCTTCCCCCGACCCTGCCACCGAGATAGGACAACGATCAAAGTTCTTCATGCTAGGGGCATTACACGGACTTGTTGATCAATATTCACATATTCGTGATCAGATTTTGGGTTCTCCGGTTATCCCCACTTTGACATCGACTTGCTCCACTCTTTTGCGTATACCAGCAAAACCCAATCTTGACACACCTGCTTCTGTTAATGATTATTCTACATTGGTATCTCACCGTGATGATCGAACTCGCCCTCGCAAACAGGGAAAAGGGCGTCCTAAGTGTGAACATTGTGGCAAGCTAGGTCACAAGATTGACCAGTGTTATACATTACATGAGTGTGAACATTGTGGCAAACTAGGTCACAAGATTGGCAAGTGTTATGCATTATATGATCGTCCTACTCGATCTACTGCAGTTGCTTAGACTGATCTTTTCACACCTTTATCTGCTAAGGATCCTCCTTCTTCTATTTCATCAGACACACCTGATATGTTCAACAAATTTCTCAAATGGTATAAGGATCAACAGTCTTCTAGTTCCACTGTGTCTGTCGCACACACAGATACATCTTTTGCTGGTCTGACCCAATCTTCTTCTGGTCCTTGGGTTTTTGATTCAGGAGCCACTGATCATATTACTGATAACAAATCTTTGTTCTCCTCTTTATCCTCTTCTGATCCTTTACCTTTTGTTACACTAGCTGATGGCTCTAGAGTATCATCTCATGGTGTTGGAACTGTTAAACTTTTCCCTTCTTTAACCATTGATAATGTTCTTTATGTCTCTGGGTTTCCTTTTAACCTGTTATCCATCAGTCGTCTAACTCGTTCTCTTTATTGTGTTGTTTCTTTTACCAACAATTCTGTGTGTTTACAGGACCAGAGTTCGAAACAGGTGATTGGCACAGGATGTGAGTCTCATGGTCTTTATCATCTTCGTCCCTTTACACATGTTGGTGCAGCTTATAGAGTCTCCTCTCTTCTCCATGCTCAGCTTAAGTCATCCAAGTCTTGTCAAGTTACAACAACTTGTCCCCGCCTTATCTAAATTGTCTAGTTTGGCATGTGAGTCGTGTCAATTAGGCAAGCATAGTCGTACTTCCTTTCCTCGTAGTGTCACACGTGGTGCTTCGTCCCCTTTTGTCGTGGTTCACTCTGACATTTGGGGACCTAGCCGCGTTAAGTCTACTTTAGGTTTTCAATACTTTGTTACTTTCATTGATGATTATTCCGGATGCACTTGGTTATTTTTGATGAAAAATCGTTCTGAATTATTTCATATCTTTCAAACTTTTTTCAATGAAATTCAAACTCGGCTCGGTGTTTCTATTAGAGTTTTGTGCAAGTGATAATGGTCGTGAATATCTTTCTCATTCTTTTAAACAATTCATGGCTTCTCATGGTATTTTGCATCAAACTTCTTGTACTTATACACCTCAACAAAATGGTGTAGCTGAACGTAAAAATAGACATCTTATTGAAACAACTCGCACTCTTTTAATTCATGGAGAGGTTCC